ATCTCCCAGGAAATAGTATCTTTCTGCCAAAATTTAATATCCTGCGAAGGCACGTCATCTTAATGTTATTTCGTAAGATATATATAATTTAATAATGATTTTTTTCTCCTAAAAAATTATTAGACGCAGAATATACGTTTATAATGCAGAATAACTGAGAATCTTTTATTTGTTTGGATTTTGGTTGTCTTATATTCATCAGTAGCGGAACACGAGGTGGTGAAAGTGACATTGGCCGCTCCAAGAGGGGGTTTTAATGACTCTTCAATTTTCCTCTCTTTCATTTTCTCGAATGTTATGCACGTCGTTATACTTACGGCATTCGATTTCACCGAAGCAATTAAATTGATTTTTGGATAGGAGGGATAAAAAATAGAAGGTTGATTTTATTATATTTGACAAGATTGATAAGCGCGAAGTACAAAAACACGAATAAAGTGTATTATACAAAGAAAGAATTGCTTTGAGATAGAAAATTGCAAATATTACACTATTATTCTTTAATATATTATTTTTTAAAATATTTACATCTCAATGTTCTATTCTTTATATAAATTCACAAAATTTAGCAGTGAGATATAAATTAGAGACTGATATTTTTATGTATTTTATGTATATTTATATAATTTAATTTAGCTATACGCATATCTAAATAAATATAATTAAATTTGTGGAATAATATACAACAACGCTCACATTTTATAGAAAGAAAGCGAACGATTAGTTACACTATTAGATTTATAAAATTAATTATTTTTCTATGCAATTTTTAAATATAGTTCTTAATTTAGACTTAAGACACACGGTAGTGTCACGCGCCAAGTACGCGCGGTAAAAATAACTTGATATTGTTGAAAAAGAAAATTTAGATTTTCAATAATGACGAAACTTACCAACGGCGAAAATTATCCAACACGGTATTATTTTAATTATAAACTTTAAATTACTACTTCGACATTCTTGACAATACCCAAGTAGCAAAGATGACGTCTACAGACGTCTTATTGACGTCATAGACGTCATAGACGTCAGACGTTATTAAGATGTCACTTGACGTCACTTTGCTATTTGGGTAAACATGTGAGAACTATAACATTACATATGCAATTGTGGCTTTTATTTCAGAAGAAGAACTGTCGATTCTACTCTCATTTCTTTATTTTCTTCTCTAGTTTTCTCTAATTCCATAAGTACCTAGCAAGTTGTATGATATGCCACGAAATCGGAAATACGTGCAAATATAAATGTCAATACAATGCATTCGATATATCGGATATGTTCCAACTTTTTAACTTTTAGTCGAAACTATAATTTGTTTTAGTTTAATTTTATATAAAAAAGTTATAATATTATAAAATGTAGTTATATAAGTCGCTGGACTCATCCGAAGAGAGTTTCATACTGTTGACACAATTGGAATGACTTTTTAATAGAATACGACGCGAATATTTCTGTCCAAGAGTTTGGCACTTGGTCGCAATGGTTTGAAGCTGAGAGCTTAAAGAGGACAATTCGGTACGCAATCTTTCAATTTCGGAATCCCGCCTTTCAACTTGCAGTTGTAATGCATTAGCCTCATCCGTAACTGTGTCTCTCTGCCTACGTAATTCACAATTTTCCTTCTCCAACCTGTAATCCACATTAAATCAAATCCAATTACAAGATATTAAATATTGATAACACTTTATTAAGAATAAACATTAGTCTCTTGCTATTTTATACAGTAATTATATTATTAGTTATCAAAATATTATTAAATTTTTTTTTATATATCGATATTAGAAATTGTAAGAATGTGACATTACCGTTTGACAGATTCCTGTAATCTGTGCACTTCAATTTTTACTTCCTCAAGATTGCTACATACTTCTGTATTGCTCTTTTCCGCTAGCTCCAACGTCCCTCTACACTCGTCAAGATCCAACTTCTGCTCTGCAAGTTCCTTCTGCGCCGTCTCTAAATTTTGCTCTGTAAGTTAACATACGATATAAAGTTCTCGGCCTTCTATTTATTTATGCAAAATTCTTTATTTTGAGATAAATTTTGGCCATGAATTATGGCTTTCGATGTTTGAGACTAAAGAAGTTTACATTGAGTCTCGAGTAAATAACGAAAGTATTGTTAGAAGGAACCTAAATTCGAGAAAAATACATAAAAAGCGCCGGCATTTCAAAAGTAAATAAAACGAGCGTCTCTCAAATATTCGAAGCTGTTAAAAATTCAAAACGGCGCGTCCAGCTTACCCAAATATTTTCGGCTAGTCTCGAAAACCGCCTTGGCGGTTATGAACTCCTCGAACTTTGCATTAAAATGCGCATTGATCTTCCTCGTTAATTCTCTCGGGATTTGCGCCAGCTCCTCCTCACTCGCGATCTCGCGAAGAACGTTGGGCTTGCTCTCCTCGACCGCTTCCATGTCGATCGGATAATTTCTTCGACGATTGGATCAGTCGCGCTTCACAACCGACGTTTTCAGATTCCAAGGTTGAGGTGTTGAATTCCTCTGAACAGGCACCACATTTGCGTCTCAGTTAATAAACGTTATCACGTTTCTGCAACGGACACGAACGTTTTACCGCTCCTGACCGCTTCGTCGTTCGTCGTCAGCGTCACGTAAAAGCGCAAATCAGAGTGTAGCAAATTTAATTAAAACGTACGTAATAATAATTAAAGGACTAATAAGAGAATAGTTATAATGTAAGGATAACGCGCTGATTAGAATAATAAAAAAGTATTAATAATAACGTAATATATAAACAATAATGATATTACAATGTTGTGGAAAATATATGTAATTATTTTAACGAATCATATTAAAAATTGTCCAAGCAATAAATGGATTCTTTATAAATCGTAATAACATTGTAAATTTTTACAAACTCCTTTTGGTATAGAAATATAAAATCGAACAAATTATTTACATCAGAAGTTGGATCTTAAATAAATTTTAATTTATTTAAGTTTCTAATTGACGCATTAATTTTTGTAAACTATAAAATAAAATTGTGAAAATAAAATTTTATATAAGTTTCGCAAAGAAAACAGTGCTTTATGTGTCGAGTCTTTTTTTTCTCTCTTCTATTCTTTAATTGCTTTAACAGATGAGCAGTTGACATAATTATATTCGCGCAGAGAGAGAAAGAGAGAGAGAGAGAGAGAGAGAGAGAAAGAGAGGGGGAGTAGATATAACTTACATAGCATAATTCAAATTTGTGTGTTGGAAAATATACGTGTTGTGGAATACATTAAATAAACCGTATTTTAATGATAGGGCAATACAGAGAACTTAACATAACGTTTACTTCTCATAAAATTTTACGTATCTCGGCAACATGATTTAATGTAGTGAAAGGAATATTAGAGTTATACATTTGAACATCACGCACGGATGTACCTAAATATATGAGCATTTATAATGTGGTTTATACTTACTGCAAAATACGTCGTGAGAGAAATAATTGCAATTGCAGAGAGATGTTTAAATCTGAATTATTTTACCAAATCGTCAGAAAGTGATGTTATTCCTTTCGCAGAACACACAAGATTGGTAACTGCAATGAAACATTTGGCTTGGTAAGAATGTGTTTTCCTTCCAAACATAACAGAAAGTATGTGGTAGTGGTTTATATACAAATATAATGTCTTAACGGTCACAAACTAATGAGGCACAGGTCAAGTGAGCGCCGCTAGTGGCAGATGTCGATCGAGCTTTGTTTCGCACAGTCAACGTACTCGTCGATATTATATTTGTTTTAGGAAAAATGGACCCTTATTATTTCATCAGATACATAACTGTCTCCACTTGCCTCTGTAGTTACTAATCGAAAAATAAACTTTCGTACCTTTCTTCTTTGTCCCTGTTGCTTTGTGCGTACAAAACTTGCAGATACACCTTTATTGCTGAAATTACTGCGAGTACCGATAAAACGCTGACGGATATTGAAAAGCAGTAATCACTAGAACCCGACTTTCTTGAATCAATTTTCCTTGTCCTCTTTTTTTTTCCTCTTTGCCGAGTTTGAAATGCCACAAGGCTGACGCTGACATCGTCCAACAAGAGTAAGTTTAATGGAAGCATTA